TCATTGCTATCATCAATATGGCCTGAGTTTGATCCCCCATTAGGGAGCTAACCCACACATGGCACAGCAGACCTCTCCTGTCTTGCCTGCTGCTCCCCTTAGCAATGTATTTCAGTAAACGCTGTCTGTTCTGTTCCCCACTCTGTCTTTGGTGAATCCTCTCACCCCTGCATCTCTGACCTACACACCAGTTCTACACACGCATACACACAAAGTGTAGCTTATACCAAAAATACATCCTAAAAAAAATAAAAACACCTGTTGATTCAGTTTGACAGCACATTCTTATTATGACTTCTAATTTGACTGTAAAGTCTTCCTCCATTTTCTATCTGTGCTCTTTATTCTTGTTGAAAATAGAATTACTGTATGTATATGTTAGAAAACATTCAATTGCAAACAGAAAAGACCCTATGAAAATGAGTTAAACTTTGAGACACATATCTGGAGAAACTTGATGTATTTTAAACAAGAAACTTTCTCCTTTAATTCAAAAGAAAAATTAAGTCAACCCACATCCAGTTACTGCAGACATTCTCCATCAAGGTATATTGTGTTAAAATTTTCTGTTTATATCTACCTGTCCTGAAAGTCTGAACAACTTAAATGTAAGGATCCTGCTTATTAAGAATTAAAATTTTGAGCACCTGTCACATAGCAGGGCTTCGTTTCATGTTTGCTGAAGTATGCCTTTATTGGTCCTTAAGAGGCAGTAAATTGTGTAAACACCCCGTTGACTTAATAACAACTTTACATGGGAGGAAAAAGAGTCACCACATTTGTACATTACATTTGTAAACAGCTATTATACAACACATCCTGATTTCAAGAAAGTTAAAAATTTTAAAGTATGCCTCAGAATGGAGGAAATCCTGTTATTGTCCATTACTAGCTTTCTAGTCTCCAAAGCACAGTGGACTCTTACCTCCATTATGTCCACAAAAATTCTTTAATATTGGCTGTATTGACTCAAATCATCCTGTTCTTCCTACAGTGCATTTGCTGAGACCTCTGATAACCTCCAAATATTTGTCATGATTTTCTTGGATTTTCATTTCCTTGTATTAAATCCCCCTCTTTGAAATTCTTCACTGACTTTGGAATAACTTCTGTCATCTCAAGGGCCCTACCTCATAGGGTCCTTTCTCCTCTAGTGACTCTTTTTCATCTTATCCTCAAAGTGGGCACTCAAGCCTCAGGCCCTTTACAGTCTTCGCTGTAGTTCCCAACCCTGGCTGCACATCGGAATCGCCTGGAGAGTCCTTTAAAAAAATGCTGCAAAACCAACCAGATCACCGAATTAGTCAACTTGCACTGGAACATTAGCTCTGTGAACCTGGGTCACATAACCTGTCTTCTGAATTTTCTGTGAAATTCAGATGCTGTTTAAAATTTTCTTCATCAGATTCCTGAATACATTCTCACTCCCAATCATTACAGCAAATATCTTCTCTTTTCTCTACTTATTTAAAGCTGTATTTCCTTGAAAGCTCAACTCGAATCCTTCTTCCTCCTCACAGCCCTCCAAAATCACAATTTATTTTGACTCATTTGTAAAGCACACTAAGAACTCAAATTGGGGCTGTTAAAAATGAAATAATCTCCTAGCTGATCACCCTATAATTGTTCTTGTTACCTTTCAATATTTTCTTCACAGAGCACTCCAACATTCCAGAGTGTTCTTTAAAGATATTTCAGATCATGTTGCTTCCTATTTTAAATCTTCCAATGAATTCCCTTTGTCCATAAGTTAAAATCCAAGTCCAAATTCTCTACCCTGGCCACAAGATTCTACAGCACCTGACCCTCGTCTAATTACCCATCCATGGTTATATGTAATCTAGTCGTGCTGGTCTAATTTGATAGACTTTTCCCACCTCGGGTCCTGCTATTCCCTCTGCCAGGAATGAGCTTAAACTTGCCTTTCCAAAGTCAGATTAATGATTACTTCCTCAGTGAACACTTCTCTGACTCTCAATCCAGGTAAAATGCCTCTAGCAAAAACTTCAATCACATCCTATAAATAAATACTCTTGGTAATGAAATGTTTTATCGTGGCATGGGAAAAGGCAGGATGTTGATCTATTGTTTGATCTTTTTCTTGATCTATTGTTTGATCTGTTGCCACAAGCATGAATTATATTTGTAATTTAAAAAATATTTTAACATTTAAAAATATTTACATGTTGTAATATAAAACTTACTCAGCATGAAAGATAGCCTAATGCTCTATCAAAGTCATATGGTTTAATGTTATCTCCTCTAGAGCACAAGACCAGGAAGAGCATGTGCTGAGCCTGTCTGGCTCATCACTGTGGCCACAGAATCTAACAGTGATTTCCACAGAGGCAGTGCTGGATTTACTGAGTGAACACGTCTGACCAGAAGGACAGACATAAAACTGATTAGAAGGCTAAGGACTCATCTTGCCAGGAAAGGGGTGGCCCTCAATCCAACTCAGAGGTCCCAGGGGGCTGGAGCACCTCTGTGTCTGTTCTAGTCAGCATCCTATTCAAGAGCGTCATCTTCCCAGCCCAAGAGTAGGACAGGAAGGCTTCCAAGCAACAGGTGTGCTTAGAATCTCAAGAGTGAGGAAGAATTAAGGGCACTGCCTCTGACTAGGTAGAAATAAGACTCATGGCAGAGGCTACAGACAAATTCAGTGGGGAGTCAGTACATTAAAAAATATTCTCTGACTTTTCTGGTTATAATTTTCTAGTTCTAATTTTCTTTACTATTAATTTGTCCCTTAGCATGTATAAATTGGTCTTGAGATATATAAAAAAAATTCATAAATATATACAAGTATATGTATATTTCTTTTTTTAAAGATTTATTTATGCATACAAGAGCTGGGGTACAAGCCAGAGGTGTAGGGGGTGAGAGGATCCACCAGAGACAGAGCGGGGAACAGAACAGGCAGACTGACTGAAATACACTGCTGAGGGGAGCAGCGGGTGAGACAGGAGAGGTCTGCTGCGCCCTGTGTATTGCTCCCTAGCTGGCCGGGAATCAAACTCACGCTGTAGTGGCTGCGGATTGCTTCATAGCTTGCATCTTAACCCTTGCGCCACCAGGGAGGCCCCTATGTGTATTTCTTGATATATCATTTGATTTGTTGCCACAAGCATGAATTATATTTGTAATTTAAAAATTACAGAATCTAACAGTGATTCCCACAGAGGCAGTGCTGGATTTACTGAGTGAACACTTCTGACTAGAAAGACAGACATGAAAACTGATTAGGAGGCTAAGGACTCATCTTGCCAGAAAAGGGGTAGCCTTCAATGCAACTTAGAGATCCCAGGGGGCTGGAGCACCTGGGGTCTGTATTAATATATGTAAATATATGTATTCACAAACATATAAATTGGTTTCAATATACAAGCTACATCTACAGACAGAGATCTATATCTCCAGTTTTCCAATGAAATCCACCTCCCCTAACTACATATTTTTCATAAATGTTTTACATACTCATCACCTGGTAACAACCATATTTATTCCTTAGAAATGAATGAGGCCAATATTCTTTTATACAAGGAACATGTTCAGAGCTTCAGTATTTTTCAGATACTTTCTAATAAGTATATGTTTAAATAAATGCAGCAGATTTTCATGTTTATGAAAATTGTATTTCACCAATGCTTGTAGAAGTTACTTTGATTTTCAATGGCCTTGAATGTTTTCCTTTGCTTGGAAATAGTTGACAGGGCATTTGCAGATAGGTACCTGCATTGTTATTTGAACAGAATTGAATATTTTCATGAAAATGTGTTTTGCCTGCTATAAATTGTAAATATTTCTTTATGGTTTTAAACATAGGGAGGATATGCCTTCTAAGTTGTAGAAATCGCCTGGTGAGATCTTTCATTTTCCCAGAATTGTAGTAACTAAAAGGCTTTTACATGGTATTTGAGTTCTTGTATCTTGTCGGGGCAGTTTATTGCAGTAATAGGGCAGAAAGAGACTAAAATCTGTTATTTTTGCCCACGCTAATAGCTGTCCCCTTCAACAATTAAAAGTGAGATGCAAAAGGCTCCAGAATCTGGGCCTCCCTGGTGGCACAAGGGGTTAAGCACAGCACTGTGAAGCTATCTGCAGCCTCTACAGCACAAGTTCAAACTCCTGGCCAGGGAACTACCCACATGGTGCAGCAGATCTCTCCTGTCTTGCCTGCTGCTCCCCTCAGCAGTGTGTTTCAGTTAATTTGTCTGTTCTGCTCCCCACTGTCTCTGGTGAATCATCTCACCGCACCCAACCCCGCACCTCTGACCTGTACCCCAGTTCTTATACGCATAAATAAATCCTAAAAAAAAAAAAAAGAACAGAAGTCTCCGGAATCCCTCATCTCCCAAAACCTAAGGATAATGAAGACATTGAATCTGTAATCTTTTAAGAGCTACGCTGAATGAACCCTTCCCTCTTAGGAATATGGATTATATATCACATCTCAATGACAAGCCTAGGCTTTGCTCTTTTCCCATAATTGAGCATACCTAGGGTTAGACATGTTTAATTTAGATTAGAGGCTGTCTTAAGGTAGCATGAATTCAAGACATTATGTGACTTCGGTAGGATTACATTTATTAACCAAGCTTACCGATTATGAGGGTTTCTAGGCCAACAGCATGAAATGGATTTTATTTTTTTAGCCAAAAAACAATACTTTTGTTTTTTTCTAGAGAGGATTATTTATACAGTTAAAGCTAACATACTTGCCCAGTTGTTATTGTTAATAGCTGCAGGCTTGGTTCTGTTTTTATTTTTACAGTTGCTTTATTCCTTTCTTCAATTAAAACCTAATAGAGAGTAAACTAGTAGAGAGTAAAACTTTTATGTGCTTATTAGGAATAAAATTTCACAACTTCACAAGGAAACTACATGAAATGAAAAGAAAGTGGTGATGAAAGCTAAAAAAAGTAGCCATATTACTAAATTTAGGAAGGGAGGAAACATCAATTAATTGATTATTTAAACATGTAGCAGTATGTGCTTACCATGGGTTTTGGTATCTGTGGTTGGCTTGGCCAATGGCGTAGTGACTTGGTTCTGCATACTGTAAAAGGGAGAGAATTAATGTTCCCTAACTGCAAGGTAAATAGCCACCAACATGTCTAAAGTCTATGATCCTACAAAAATGTAATCAGTTTGAGAAATTAAATAGGAAATGTGAATTCAGTTAAACAAAGATAGTCTTTTGATGATCTGAGAAAAAGAAGATAATCGGTAAAATATGACCCATGTGGTTCACTGTTTCCTTTTAGAAAAGGACAGCTGTTGGTGGCAGAAAGACTATATAGTTCATAATATTTATGCTCCAGACTTTATGATTCTGTGCCCAAATAAGCAGACATTTTAGTGACTATTGATTAGACTCAAGTAGTTTAGTTCTTTTCATTTTACTTTATTCTTACGGAAGTAGAAAGTGTGGTAGCAGTAACTTGGATAAGAGCTGGGTTATAAACAACCTGTGGTATGGAGTAGATCTGAAACCTTGGTTCCGAAAGCATAATTTAGAACATGGATAAAATATTTCATAGCTTAAACTCAGTTCCCATTTAAGGAAATAATCCCCATACCCACTCAGGTAATAATGATCTATAGTAATAATGATCTATTACTACTAAATAAGTGACTGCTAGACACTAGCACCTTCCCCATGTAGCCCCCAGTGGATGACACAACTTGTGAATAAGCATAGAGTTTTGGCTTGTCAAAGTTACATTGAAAGGGCTTGGGTCTACCACCATTTCTCAATTGGGCAACAGTGACATGGATTATTAAGAGTTTGGAGTGCATTTTCCACTTGCATTGATGTGGCATACTACGTTCATAACATCTCAAAAAGTATCAGAATCATTTTTAATTTCAATGTCAGAGGACTTATTTTGTTTTTATCTTCCTTTATCCTCAAATTTTGGTTCAAATGACTTTCCTGATTAGGGGCTTCAGTTAGCTGGGAAAGCAGATCTGTACACAATGGAGATTATGGTGTGTCTTTCTCAATTGATTTCTGACATGAGTCCCTGAAGATTGACCTTACAATAGACATACAAGTACTTTTAATATCAGATTTTGGGCAAATTTTCTGGGTGCTGGACATTCTTCTTTGACCTTTGTTATCATTTGTAATAGCCAAAAATTACATTTTCTTAATTGGGAAACTTTTCTTAGAAAGAAAACAACAAATTATTTTGTTTCCCCACCCCCTCATTTCTCCTATAGCTATCTGTGTATAATGTCAAAAAAAAAAATGTTATCTAAAACAAGCTGGCCCTTTTCTATTTTAATTTGTTAATGAAATTCATTATCTATTTAAATAGTCATGCTCACCAGAGTATTAAAACTAATGAAATTCAGAATTCAGTTTTTTTTTTTAAACTGGACACTTGTTCCTAAGATTAAGAATGACTGAGTCAAAACTTAATTCACATCTTCATGGAAACAGATAACGACTGATTAGTATATTTTCTGTCCTTAGGAAATCGTCAGAATCTCTTTACCATAATTTTGAATGTGATTCAACAAGTGAAATATCCAAATGGACTATTCTAATTAAGCAAACTTTAAACAGGTGTAGGCATCAATAAAAGGGAAATACCTTCTAACTACAGTCAGACATATTAAGCACAATGTCTGAAATTAGTTAGAAATCGCTAAATTTGAGTCAAAATAATTGCAGACATTTAGGATCAATTCTAGTTGACAATAAAAATCATTGCTCAATACTTTTTTAAACACCAAACAATTCTTGTCTACTTCTTATATAGTTGGGAAATCTTTTGGGGATCGATAACTGAGGAATCCTCTTGCTATGTTGTTATAGTTCACCCAGGATGTTTTTTGTAATAAATCCAATTTTGACTCTCTTGCTAGAAAGAACCATTTTCCATCTCTGTAACTATGAGGCCTTTCTCTAGAGTGAATACAATGGCAATGCATTTCAAGAATGCATAGACAGTAGGATTTCTCTTCTCTGGGCTCTCCTTGGTAACATAGAGCTCTTAGTACCAAACATTTGAGTGGAAAATTCCCTAAGGCTACCTTTTCTTATGCTAATGTATTTTTTTCCTTCACTTGCCTCAATTTGCAAAATATTACTGTTAACCCCTTAGGTGTCCGTCTTCCCACGGCTGGGAAGAAGCATTCCCATTGTTACAACTGGAACACCCAATCACAGAATGCTGCCTATTCTAGACGGAACTATTGGAGGGAGAAAGGAGACATAAAGGCTTTTGTGAAAATGGAACATTTGAACTGTTCATTATATATTCAGGGCCTGAGTAGAAACAAACAATTCTTTCTGAAAAATGTGTTTCAGACATGGATTCTGTGATTAATTTTTCTTATTAAAAACAAAATATGGGCAATGCAGATATCCATTCTTCATTTTATGCCATATAATATATGGGCTTGGATACTAATCTGAATTATATCCTGTTGTTTTTTTTAACAGCAGAGAGTTTGTTAATTTGAGTTAGTAAACCAACTTTTGGCAAATAGACTAAACATTGGATTTTGTGAGTTTTTTTTTTTTTTTTTTACTATGGCTCAAGTATCTCTGTTTTCTGTGGAATATTCAAATAATGAGCAATATAGTCCATTATATTTCTATTGTTTCTACTATTTTAAAATGGTAGGCAGGAATACATAGTGCATTTAAACATTAATAATGCTGGATCCCATTTATTGAGACTTAAATACTATGTGAAGTGCTTTACATATACAAATCTCTCTTAATCCATTTAACAATATTCTAAAGTATTATCCCTGTGTCAGCCGAATTCTAAGATAGTTCCTAAGATTCCCACTTCATGGTCATAGACATCTTCTCCCAGATAGTCAATCAAATACTAATCTAGTAACTGCTTGAAGGGATTTTGCAGACATAATTCAGATCCCAAATCAGTTAACTTTAAGAATGGGAGGTTATCCTCCCTGGTCCTAACTTAATCAGGTAAGGTGTTAAAATGATCTGGGCTCTTTCTGACAAAGGGAATTAGAAGCACAAGAGGAAATTGGCAAAATGAGATTTTCTGTTGCTGGTTTTAATGACAAAGTGACCACAAAGAAGGGAACATGCGCTGCTTCTAGAGGCTGAGATTGTTCCTTTGCTAAAAGTCAGCAAAGAGGTGGGACCCCATCCGCCAACGACAAGGAATTGAAATCTGCTGCTACCACTGGGGAGAGACCCCAAGCATCAGCCAATAATCCATCACAGTAGGCACCTTGTGAGAGCTGAGTGGAAAACCCAGTCACGCCCTCAGGGTTTTCTGACCTGCAGAGGTGGGTGTTGCTTTAAAGAAGCTAAAGGTGTGGCTATTTGCTGTGCCCAATAAGAAAACTAAAATAATACCCATTTTATAGATGGCAAATCTGAGACGTTATAAAAAATGTAGACAGATTAGCAGGCAAAGAGAAAAAAAGGGGTAAAATGAAAAATTCTTTGACTATTTTCATTTGTAAATCACATTATTCATTAAAGCTACAAACTTATATTTACCTTGAAAAGCATTGTGAATGTTAGTTGGCCTCATTTGTTCTTAGAGAGATGGCACATGAGTGGTATTTTCTTTCTGTATTTCTTCAGTGAGATAGATGCTTTCCTTATTTATTGCATAATTCAAGATATTCCGGATACTCTTTTAAAGCAATACTACAATTTATTCTGTCGTTCCAACCTCAGCCTTTTATCCAGTTAGTTGGTGATCTGAAATCTTGAGCCAATTCAACTATTCACGCTATGGAAAAGCCATCAAAACCTTCTCAAATCTCTTGTGATCAGAGCACAGCTTCTGAAATATAATCAAGTGCCTATTTTGCTGTCGCTCTCACCCTTGGAATTTTCTAATGTGTTTGGCACCATTGTTAATTCAAAGGTTAAAAAGCGTGCTTCTCCCAAGTTAATTGTCCAATTAGATTTACAACACAGAATTACACTAGGGGTGGTAACTCAGGCATTGTGAGCAGTAACAGTAAATAAGTTTCAATACAAATATAAATGGTAAATAGCTCTCAAATGACATTATTGAACTAGTGAGGAGTAGAATAATTCTCAAGTTAATATGCACTTAAAAATTGATTTCTCCCACAACTTGGTCTTCCAACAAAGACACGGCATGAGTAAGGAAGCTAATTCAGTCTCCATCTCCTGTTTTATTGATGATCATCTACCCTATGCTAAGCTCTGTGAGTGGTGGTTGATCAGTAAAAAGTTAAATAAAACAGAGCTTAGACCTCTTGTTGCTTAAGGCCACTTGGAATGTGGCGGGAATTATACAGTCCAGCTGCAGATCATAGTTGCACTAAAAACCCACAAGATTGCAAAGAAACTTCCTATGAATTCTTTCCCATCTGAAGGAGTTCACAGTGGCTTCCTGTAGCATTTTTCGGTGTTATTTTCTTTTGCACCTTGAGACATATTGGGAACCACATCGCAGGGACCTCTAAGTTTAATGAATTGCTTTCAACTCGCTCATTTAAGATGCCTTGTTAAGCTAGGTGCAATGCTGGAGAAACATTTCTTCTGATTGCTGGTGTCATTTGCTGTACATTCTATACATTTTTTATATACTTGAGCACATTTGAAGTGCTTTGGGGATGTTATCGGGAAAACTATAATCTACATATATAAGGGTTTAAGAATTTCTCCCAGAGTTCTTAAAAAGCCAGGATAAATGCCAGATTTAGAAACCAGATGTCCTGGTATTTGAACCACCTGTGCTTGGTGTAGACCATGCACAAGTTTCAAAATTCTTTGACAACACACGGGAAGGAGTCTGGCTGTGCAGTCAGCCTCAGGTTCATTAGTACTGACTCTAATTTATACAGTCCTTTTCTTAGCTGTGTGTCTCCCTATCATCATCAAATGATATTTGTTGAAAATCCATGGCATATGCTTAATTACTAACTTTAAGAAGTGTAATTAAAAAAATGTTTACATTTAGACACATACTTAAGATGTTAAGTCCTACAAAAAAGTAACCACCACGGCATATTTTTAGCTTCCCTTAATTAAGGGATAAAATCACCCACTGGACTCTAAACTACATTGAG